TTTAAAGTTCATATAGAGATTTCTTTAACTGAAATACCAAATAGTTTCTTTGGTGCGAAAACTGTAATAGTACACAGGATCCTAATGAGATAATTAATAATGTGAAATAGGAAGTAAAGGGCTAAAGGTGTAGGGAAAGTGGGAAGGGTGGGGGAAAGGTAATAAGGGAGAGGAAAAAAGTATGAGAAACTGAAAAAATGGAAATAAAGTGTTTGTAAATGGGAGGGGAGGAGGGGGTGAAGGGAGGGCAGGGACAAGGGGAAAAAAAGGAGAATCAAGTCCTATTATGTAAAGGTACAGAATCCCAATGATGAATGTAACTGTACTGTATACCTAGATTGTACCAATAAACTCAATTAAAAAAAAAAAAGAAATCAGCATGAAGATTCCCCAAAAAAGTAAAAATAGAAATTCCATTTGACCCTGCCATTCCCCTTCTGGGCTACTTCCCAAAAGAGTTATTAAAGATATCATATTACAATGAAACATGCATATCCATGTTTATAGCAGCATAGCTCACAAAAGCTGAATCTTGGAAATGGCCTTTACATCTATCAGCAGATGAACGGATAAAGAAAATGTGGTATTTATATACAATGGAAAATATTTGGCCATAAACAAGGATAAATTTTAGTTGTGTAGGAAAATGGATACACCTTGTGACCACAATGCTAAGTGAAATAAATCAGACACAGAAAGTTAAATACTGTATCCCAGGGTTTGTTTTATGTGAGAAACCCAAGGTACAGACAATTTAAATAGCAAAAGAAAAGACAACTGGTAGGAAACAGGTAGATAGAACTTTTGGAGACAGGAAGAGAGGGCGTTAAAAAGAACAAAAGTGAAACATGTATATGTACCAATTCCCCACGATGAATGTATTTATTATGTATTCCAAATATGTACCAATAAAAAAAGCACAGTATGTCTTCCAAAAGTTATGAAATGATTTGGCACTGAAAAGCTAGCACATACAAAGCACAAGAAGAGGAAGAGGTGATTTTTCGCCAAGATGGCATCAAAAGCAGGGAAGGAAGCTTCCATTCCTTCCAAAGCAAAAAGCAAATCAAAGCCTTTAAAGGTCAAGAAGGCAGTGCTGAAAGGCATCCTCCACAGGTGCAAGAGAAAGACAACTGCACGTCACCCACTGTCCAGCAGCCCAACATATTAAGGCTCTGGTGGTCGCCCAGGTGTCCTAGGAAGAGCAGCCCGGGAAAAACAAGGATAACCACTATGCTGTCCTCAACTGCTCCCTGGCCACTGAGCCTGCTGGGAAGATGTAAGGCAGCCGCACTACATCTGCACAGGCTGCCTAGACTGTGAAGAAGCTGTAGGATGCTGCCGTGGCCCAGGTCAGTACCCTGACCAGGCCTGAGGGAGAGGAGGTGTCTGTCCACTGGTTCCTGATTCTGCTTACGGCGTGGCCAATAAAACTGGGATCATCCCAACTGAGTCTAGCTGGCCAATTCTAAATATACATTTTTTTCACCACTTAAAAAAAAAAAAGAAGCAGGACATATATTGGACATAAACAAATATTTATATTAAGTAAATGCAATTCAGTATTTTGAACTGTGACTTGTGATTCCATTCTCTAAGAAGATAAAACCGTGTTAACATATGTTATTGACAATAGACACAATGATAAAAATGCCTATGATAAGCCAGCTGATGGACGGAGAGATTGCAAATTTCCTCAGAACACATACACCTCAAAGAAGTCAGAGGTACATATGACTAATTCATGAATCATCAGGACTAGTGGGGAAAGTATTGTGTTTGACTGCCAATGTTTTCCCATCTCAGTGCAAAAAATAATGTTCTCTTACACCTTACAAGACCCTGTATACACACAGGTACAGTGACATACTTAAAGGCAGATCTGTTATATATGAATATAGAAAGATCTCGAAGGCGTAGAGTACAAGTAGAAAAAAGAAGCCAGTAATACAACTTGTTGCATTACTAGTATTGGTACTTTTATATGTTTCTAAAGGAAGGAAGAGACAGACAGCCCAGAGTTAGCCTTCATCTATGGAAACTTGAGCTATCAGCAGCTAGCATTAATCACAGAGGAAAGAGAGGACCTGCTGACCACGGTGATGGGACAGTGCGGTTTCTACATGAAAAAAACAGAAATGGAGCTCCTAACCTCCCAGAGTTCACGTCCACATAGAGTTCACTGAGGTGGAATAAGAGAACTTGAAAAACACAGGAATGACTGTGGAGTAAGGATTTCTTTCAAACACATAAATATCACCCAACATCACACATTTATACAGAAATGAAGTGGTTCTGGTTATAGGGACACTGGTAGTCAAGTGCCACAGGCAAGACAGACAAAGCAAAGCCACATAAACGTGCTTCCCAGTCAAAGGAGCTAAACCACACTGGGAAGTCCTTTGTGATGCATAATCTGACAAAGCATTTATTTCCAGAATATACAAAGACTCAAAAAATTAGGACAAACCAATTTTCTAAAAAGCAAGGCTTGAGGGCCAGGGATTTCAGCTCAGTGGCACTGTGCCTGCCTGGTAAGCACAAGGTCTTGAGTTCAATCCCCAGTACCAAAAAAAAAAAAAAAAAAAAAAAAAAAAAAAAAAAAAAAGAAAAAGAAAGAAAAGAAAAGAGAGAGAGAAAAAAAGCAAAGCTTCAAAGGGCACTTCACATTGGTATAAATCTGTCAAGTATACTCCACAGTAGAAAGCTGGTAGCTCAGAGAAGGAACAGAAATAGAGACGAAAGTATACACATGAGAACAAGATAGAAAAGAACCTAGTGGCCCATCCAAATCTCGTTTCCACCCTAGTCACTGTTACCACCCCAATTCGTTTCAGCACTGACCTCCATCTGCCAATACACACACTCAGGGCTTTGTACAGTGAAGGGCCGGCCGACTGCTCACCAGACTGTGAGCTTCAGCAGAGCAGAGAGGTGGAGTTTGCACCGTGCTTTATCCCTAGACCAAGCACAAGGGCCAACACACAAGAGGCCACAGCATGGAGGCCTGGAGCTCTTCACCTCTTTGGGTCTCCATGTCCTTGTTCCTAAAATAAAATAGTGGCACCTACTCTAGAGTTGTCCAAGTGCACAGAAGCACCACGTGCATAGCTGACACTTACCACAGCTTTGTAATGACAGCTGATGGTGATGACAACAGAGCCCAGGACCATGACATAGAAAGAACCAAGCTTCCCTGAAAAGCAGCAGTACTGTCTTGGAGGGAAAACAAGATGGACCTCTTGCTGGCCAGTAATTAACTCTTATAAGTTGTTCTTTGAAGCATTTTAGGAAATAGCAGGGAATAGAAATCCCACTAAGGAAATTGGGGAAAAAATCCAGAAGTTGGGAGTGGAAAACTATACAGCAGTGAAATGTGATGCTAGATAGAAATGAGAAGCAGGTCTGACAGAAAAAGGGAAAAAATGAGACTGGCAGGACACTGTTTATATAAGATTACAAGCACACAAGGTGGAAGGAAATAACTCAGAACACATACCAACGAAAATAATATTCACTTAGTGCACAAGAATATATTTTAATGGGGGAAGAGGAAGTGAACGTGGTGAATGAAGTTAAAAGGAAATTTGTAAAAAACCAGGGCAATGAAGTGAGACCTCATCTCTTAAAAAGGAAAGAAAAAGACAAATCTTGTCAAGAGATTCAGAGAAAATAATCGACAAATTCTAGCATCCATTCATGATGAAAACTTTCAACCAACTAGGAATACGATTATTTCAGACCGGAAGTGTCTTTGAGAAGTGGTGTTTTGAGATTAGAAACTTTGTACAGTTAGTAACAATTTCTTTAGAAATTGATTCTTCCAATTTTTAACTTTCCAAGTTAAAAAATATTAAAGATTCGGTAATATTAAAATGTCAAAAGTTAAGGAAGTGGATCACTTTTTTTTTTTTTTTTTTTTTTTTTTTTTGGTACCAGGGATCAAACTCAGGTCCTTGTGCTTGCAAGGCAGCAGTGGTCCACTGAGCTAAATCCCAGGCCCAGTAAATCACTTTTTAAAATTACCTCAAAACTTCTAATTTATTAGAAAGGATGCTAGTCATGAAATTCATTATCTAGACGCTTAGCCGTCTTACAAAAGGCATCCAAGGATGCCAAAGGACCCTTTAGGTATTTATTCTGTGGGTGTATATAATTCCTTACTTTTCATACAGCCTAGGAGACAATCTGGTAACTATACTAACAGAGGACAGAACAGCTAGACCATGGCAAAAGAGCTCTGTCTGTTTCTCCTCACTCCTGGAAGTGTCCATGGGACCCACTCCTTTTATCTGCCATCCTCATTCATCTCCTCCTATCACCTAACCCACAGTTTCACCCACTTTTCATGGGGACACAGCGCCCTGGTACACACAGAGACCACAAAACAATTCTCTGGAAACTTACCTGCCCAAATACCCCTGTCCACTCTGGACATGCCCCAGCCCAGACTTTCTGCAAGGCGTACGATCAAGGGACTGTGGCCAATCAGTGTTCACACTGGCCACTGTAGCTCCTAAGGTCCTTCCCCGGCACCCCATTTTGAACTCCACTCTCAGCATTTTCTACTTTGAAGAGAACACCTTTTACCAAGAAAACCCAAGACTTCAGGAAAATGAAAAATAAAAATGAGCAGCTCTCCCTCGCCAGCTAACCCAGGATGGGAGGCATTAAAAGTGTTAAATAATGATTTGTCTTGGGCAGGGAAGGCAAACAGCGCAGCTCCTTTTACATTCACGTCCTCATCTGTGGCTCTTTTAGTACTAAAATGGCAGCACTGAGTAACTGTGACAGAAAACGTATGAACGCCCAACATCTAAAATACTATCTGGCTCTTCACAGAAAATGTTTACTACCCTCGGTCCTAACAACTAGGAGGAAGAAGTCATTAGCATGCTACTAGAAGGGGGAAACAACTTCAAACTACACATCCAAGTCTCAAGTAAGAACAATGTGAACCCACCCATAAAAATACCCTCAAACAGGGAATCAGTTTGTACCTCAGTTCCGATGAATGCGGGACGAATGTAGAGACTAGCATCAGTGGAATAGGGGACCCATTCTTTATCCAAAGACACAAGCTGCTGGATACACTGTAGAAGCTCTTCCTTATCAAAAGCCTGAAAGAATGAAAATTTAGTGACCGATGGATTTTTTTTCCCTCAAAATGTCAGTAAGAAGTGATCCTTGTAGAGGCTCCTAAAAGGCATGGGGGGGGCATATTTTCAAGACAGCTTAACTGTGTTTTGACAGATTACAGTCTAATTTGCCCCAAATAAACATAATTTTGTTTTCATATATATAAAATGCTATTTTCCCTTGCCTTAAAATGGCTGCTACATAAAATAGCAGCCTCCTCCTTCCCATAATGCTCTGCACCATAAGATGATGGCTGCCACATGGAACAACAGCCTCCTTCCCACAACGCGATGTTAAAATATGGCTTCTCCCAACAAAGGACAGTCTTCTTCCCAACATGCCCCTCTTCCCACCAAGAAAGGTAACCTTATACTTGCTACCTCCTAGCAAGTACTGACATCACAAGCCCCTCCTAGGGATGTCACAGCTCCTCCTTCAATCCCTTAACAGTACCTCACTCAACTCCACCCCAGCTCAGGCTAACCCCACCCCAGTCCTATAAAAGCAGCTCCCTGTTCTGCCATGTTGCTTATCTCTCCTTTGTTCTGAGACAGCCCAGCAGATCCTCCCCATAATAAAGGCTTGTTATTGTTATGGTCCTGGTCTGGTCCTGGTTTTCAGCTCTTTTTACCTGGGATACATATGTATGTATATGTATACATGTATATATTTTAATGTGTACATTAAAATAAAAAGTACAGCCCTCCCCAAATTATGGTAGTTAGAACTACCCATGCAGGAAAGAAATTAGATCCCTAGCTCTTACCATACCCATAAATCAATTTTACACTTAAATGTGACAAAATACTACTAAGACTTTTATTACAACATACAGAATATCTATGGCCTTAAGATAGGAAAAGATTTTTAAGTAGGACATGTAAAATACAAATCATGAAAAAGGGGGAAAGGGAGAAAATCTGCCTGAAGTATAATGACTTTTGTTCTTCACAAGATGTAAAAGCAACAAGCTGGATGAAGATACTGGTAACATATAAAGGATGTAGCTTATGGAGGGCATTGTAAAAAGAGCGTGACATGAGCACAGCCATATTGACCTGTGATTCACCCAAGCAGTGTGGACGTGCCATCGCCCATAGCAACGGGCTAGTTCAACTGGTGGTCTGATCTGTTGCCTAGCAACTGTAACGGTTGGTTTCCTTCTGGAATGTGTGGGCGGTACTCTCGCTTTTATACTCTTGCAGGGGGAGAGTATAAAAGGAAGAGGTTCTGTAATAAAGCAAGCAAGGAACTTGAGAAGAAAAGTGCCTCCCGTCTCTCTGTCCTCGTCCTTTCAGGTTTAGGACCTGCTGGCAGGATCCTGACGTCGTGGCTCACGACAGTAGCTAGTATATTTTAAAATATCCTGAATGTCAGATAACTCAAAGGAAAATTGGCAAAAAGCAGTTTATTTCTAAGGAGGTTTTTTAAAGGGCTTTCATATCACAGGCAGGTGATAGTTTGTAAAATTATTCAAGTAGTTTCCATTCAGTTGCAGGGCACAGACATGCTTTTAGCAATAGTAGAAATGTGTTGCAGGGCAGGGTGTATAGCTCAGTGGTGCCACTGCCTGCCTCACAAATGCTAGGACCCAAGTTCAATCCCTAGTACCAAAAAAAAAAAGAAAAAGAAGAAATGTGTCACAAATAAGTTGAATGAAACTTACGACACCAGGATTTGCCTGTGAAACACTAACCTGTACCGGGAATCACAGTACAGTCATGTTACAGAAGCTGTGGCTGCAGGGATGTAGGTGAGCCCTGCCTGTTATCACTTGCTCAAGTCTCTGGTACAGCTGCCTACAGATACAATTTAGTGAATTTAGTGAAAGAAGAATTCACGGCATCAGAAAGGCCGAGATCCAGTTTCTTGCCCAATGTCTTTAATAATGTGTGACCCGGGTAAGCCATCTGCCCCCAGTCTGAGTTTAAGCTTTCTCTTCTGTAAAAGGCACTACGAGACGGTGGCTCACACATGCGATTAAATAGATAAGGAGAAGCTGCACCACATAGCTCATGGCAGAGCTGATGTCCCATACATGTAACTTCCCATCCTTCAGGTCCAACTTTAAAACTTTCCCTAACTATCCTCCGGGAATGGCAAGGAGAGGCGGACAAGGACCTCATCCAGCGAATACAGTTTAATTTTCTTCTGGTGCTTCAGTAAGGCTCTTGGAGGGGGTCAGTGAAGCCTGTGTTAGAGGAGCGGGGAGAGGAAGGAAAAGCCTGGCCGAAAGGATGCTCTGAGTTCACTTTCTTCACCTCAGGCTAAGCAATGGAAGGTGAGCCACACAGAGTTTTGTAAGAGAAGGAACAGACTTCTCTCAGCTCAGAAACCAACTCAGCCACCTCTGGGGAGGCAGGCGATGTGAGTCACCTCCTACTGAGATGTGGCTTTTAGCATCTGACTCTCATCCATTTTATAATGAATTCTGCTCGAAGAGGTTATAGGCAGGATCCAATGGCTGTTTAAAAAAAACACTTTAAACATTCTTTTATCCCCCTCCAAAACAAAGCTTGGGATAATAGTTATTATTTTATTGAGTATTCACTGGTGGCCAAAGCAATTAGGCAAAATATCCCCAAAATACTCATGCCACACACATTTTCCATTTTTAGTATCATAATTTCATGTGGCCTTTAAATTTTATGTAGTTCAACACATATATTTCTTCCTCGTCTTTTTATCTCTCACCAGACTCTAATAAACAAGCAAATACTGTGGAATTGCCAAACAGTACTGGTTATTCCCTTGTATATTACTTTACTGAAGTGAATCAGAAATAACTTCAATGTTCATATAGTCCGTACTGAATATGGATCTAATTATTTGGAAATCTTTTCTTTTTTTTTGCTTTGTTTTATCAACACTGGGCTGCTGAATCCAGGGCCTTTGCACTGAGCTATTTCCCAGCCCTTTTGTTTACTTTTCATTTTGAGATAGGGTCTCACCAATGTGCCTAGGCTGGGGTCAGACTTGAGAGCCGCGTACCTCACCCTGCCAGAGTGCTGAGATTACAGCACCCAGCTTGGAAATGATTTCTTGAAGAGATAATGATTTCTGTGAGAAAATGTCACAGCCGATAAGAGCTTAAGGTGACGTGGTGACTAAAAACAATCCTAGTGGGATCCTGAGACATCCAAGAGACACTGGGTAAAAGCTAAGAAAATCTGAATAAATTATTGTCTTTAATTAACAACAATACAATATCGATAATGGTTTATTGTGAAAAATGTACCATATCGAGTAAAATGTGACTAATAGGGAAACAGGGTAGAGTCATGGAAATTCTATTACCAGTAAGTATGCTATAAATTGTAAATTATTGTAGTTGTAAAAATGTGCATTTTATTTTTTTTTAATTTATTATCTAATTTTTTTGGTTTTTTGAGACAGGGTCTCTCTTCGTAGTTGAGACTGACCTGGAACTCACTATGTAGCCCAGGTTGGTCTTGAACTCACAGTGATCCTCCTGCCTCAGGTTCCCGAGTGCTGGGATTACAGGCGTGCGCCTCCACACCCAGCTGTACATTTTAGAAAAAACAAAAACAAACCGATTTCTTTAGTGGCAAACTCAGAACGACCCATGAAATTAAAAGAAACACACAAAAAAAATCCCTAAATTTACCTACCGGCAAAGTTATTCTCATAGCTGATCGATACATTCTGTCCATGTTGAGTTCTGGCCGGAACAGCCGAATTTTATTATCATGCCCTCGATATGCCTTCAAACCTTCAAACAACTGAAGATTTAAAAAGAAAGAAATCTTACTAAATGAAAACAACCCCTCTGATCCAAAGGCTGAGGCTTTTGTGTTGTTCATCTCATTTGTCCTAAGCACTGACCTCAACCTGCGAGGATTCAATCAGATGACAGAAAGGTTACGATAGCTGGGGAAAAGAAGCCCTTTTGTCGCCACGATGTGGTGGGAATCTAAGATTCTCATTTGCTTGCGAAAGCCGCACGGCTAAGGAACACACTGAAGAGGGCCATGGAGAGAAAACACTGCTACTTACAGAACCGGGTCAACTGTCCAGACAACAGAGGTTAAAAACCAGAGGCTCGGCGGCACCCTGCCCCTCAGAGACAGCCACGGATCTTTTCATTTGAATGGGTTCATCCACAGTCTACGCCAGTGATGGCGAAGCTTTTCAATAATACAACTGTCCACTGCGGCACACGTGCCACAGCTTCACCGCGACTGGTCTAGAAAGAACTAGAATGTCCTCCAAAATTCTCGCTTTCAGAGTTGCGACTTTTCAAAAGCAACTGGATTACAAAGGCGCCCCCCATGCGTGGGCGGACTGACTTCACCGAGGAGGTGGTGGCCTGGGTGGGAGAGGTGTGTCCCTGAGAACACAATCTCCCTCTCCAGCTCCTCCATTCTCTACGGTAGCTAGGAGGTGAGCAGCTTTTCCTCTGCTGCTGCCTCTGCACCACCAGGCTGTTTCTGGAGCCAGCCAACCATGGACAAATCCCCAAAACTCTGAGCAAATAAAACTGCTCTCCCCTTAAGTAGTGAGTGTTGGATGGTGTGTCTCAGTGACAAGAAAGCTAACCAACATAGCAGTAAATAATCTATGTGCCCCAGATCTGGTTCAATCCAAATCATAAAACAAGGCAGCAGAAGGGCATACTAGGTTCGGACTCTACAATCTTCTGTGAAGTGCTGGACCACACAAATGACTGGACGGGGATGTGAAAGGATTGTGAATTATATGTACTGATATACACAGAGAAAAGAGAAAAACTATTATTTTTAGTGGGAAATTTTAACACAAACTCTCAGTAATTGAGAGAACAAAAGAATGAGAAACTAGATTCATTCATAGGAAAATGGATACATATTGAGGATATACTCCTAAGTGAAATAAATAAGTCACACCTGTGTAAATACCGAAACGTTTCTCTGGTGTGAATAAACTGTAATAGTACATAAGATCCTAATGAGATAATCGACAATGTGAAATAGGAAGAAAGGGGCTAAAGGTGTAGGGAAAGTTTTGTAAAGGGGGAGGGAGGGGGGGGTGAAGGGAGGGCAGGGACAAGGGGAAAAAATGAGAACCAAGACCTGTCATGTAAAGGCACAGGATCCCAATAATGAATGTAACTGTACTGTAACCCTAAAATGCACCAATAAACTCAACGAGGGAAAAAAAAAAAAAGCTCAGTAAAGACAGAAGACTGGAACGGTGAGAACAGACCTGACGGCCAGGTAGCACCCTCTGCTTTCCACTTGCGGAACACACGTTCTTTTCGCAGGCTTTCCAAACACAAGAGAAGCCAGAAATCAATATCCAAGTATAACTAGGAAATATCTACGCTTTGAAAACAAGAAACTCATTTCTAAACAAACCACCGGTCAAAGAAGAAACATAATGGAAATTCAAAAATAAGTTGAACAGATAGTGAAAAGTAATGTCTTTAGATAATTAAAAGTCTTTAATCACAAAAGAAAAAAGAAATATGAATCATGTACCATTAAAAAGCATAAAATTAAACCTTGTATTTCAAATACAAATATATTATTAATTCATTAATATAATCAGGCTAAAGCTTCAGTTAAAAGAAAGGCTGTCAGGGCTGGCGATTTAGCTAAGTGGCACTGTGCCTGCCTTACAAGCACAAGGTCCTCAGTTCGATCCTCAGTACTGAGAGGAAAAAAAAAACAGCTATCAGATTGGACTCAGCAGGTAACATCTAAAACAAAAAGATATTGTCATTCAAATACTTTCTAAAATAAAGCCGGTAAAGTTATACTAATAAATGTAAAACAAAAGACTGTAAGACATGCATTACTTAAACATAAAGAAAGTAACTTGATACGGTTACATTTATTTCAATTTCAAAATTGTACACATTTCCAATGGCCTCTTGTCAGAAAGACTAAAAATAACAAGTGTTGGCAAGGATGTGGAGAACACACACTCACATGCACTGTGTTCTTGGAAATGTAAATTAACAGTCATTATGGAAAATAATACAGAAATGTCTCAAGAAATTAAAACAAATGGAGTACTACTCAGCCATAAAGAATGAGAAACTAGAGACATTTATAGCTAAATGGATGCACACTGAGGCTACACTCTTAAGTGAAATAAATAGGACACACTTCAGTACCGAATAGTTTCTCTAATGTGAAAAACAAATTGTAAATAAGGTTGAAATGGTGTAATTGATAGTGTGAAATAGGAAGAAAATAGCTAAAGGGGAAGTGGGAGGGGGAAGGGGAAGGGAAATAAGGGAAAAGAAAAAAATGTGAAAAAAGGAAAAAATGGAAAACAAAGTCTTTGTAAATAGGGAAGGGTGAAGTGGGTGAAGGGAGGGCAGGGGGGTTTGGTGATAAAATAAGAACCAAGACCTGTCATGTAAAGGTACAAGATCCCAATGATCAATGTAACTGTACTGTTTGCTTTAAATGTACTAATAAGCTTAACGGGGGGAAAAAAAAAAAACAAAACTGAACCACCATATGACCTAAGAGCCCATCTATGGAGCAGCTATCCAAAAGACACGCATAAGTACCTGAAACAGCACTATCACAAGAGCCACAACACAGAATCAAGCTGAATGCCTAGCGCCAGATGAATGAATAAAGAAAATACGGTGTATATACAATGGATTCCATTAAGCTTTAAAAAAGGAGGCAATTAACTGTATTGTATACCTAGAATGTACCAAAAAACTCAATAAAAGGGAAAAAAAAAGGCAATTCTGCCATTTGGACAACACGGACGTACCTGAAGTTGGTTTAACCTACAAATACCAATGTGATCCATTACATTAACAACTTAGGTGGAAAAAAAAAGATATGATCATCTCATCAAATGCAGGAAATGATGGTAAAATTGAATATTCAGTCATGATTGTTAAGTTTCCTAGGTAATGGTGGGGATTTAGCTCAGTGGTTCTGCCACCTGCCTCACAAGCACAAGGTCCCAAGTTCGATTCTTGGTATCCCCCCCGCCAAAACAAAAAAAAAAAACAAACAAAAACTTTACTCAGTTTCCTAGGTAACTAAGGACAGAGAGATTGAGAACTTTCTTAAAGTTACAAATGAAATCTACAATACATTCTGAGCAAATATTATGAACAGTAAAATGTAAAACACTTTCCTTTTCACACTAGTAACATTAAAAGTTGCCTGCTGCAACCACTTTACCTGAGTACCGTACATTTGGTAGAAGGCAATTTTGAAATAAAAACAGGTTTGGAAGAGACAAAATAAAACTGCCTTAGAGCATGAAACAGATGATATGAATAAATATGCAGAAAATCCAGAAAACCTGACAGATAATGTTTTGAATTTACTTACTTAGGCAAGGGGTCACATGCCAAATTATATTACTATGTTGGGGCAGCAGTTAAAAACAGTAAAAACAAGTGCAAGGTCCCAAGATCGATCCCCGGACCCCCCGCCAAAAAAAACCCAACCAAAACAAAAGCAAAAAATAAAAACACTATTTTAAATAGAATCGTAAGTTAGGAATACTTAGGAAGAGGGAAATCTAACCAAAGATAATGAAAGGCAGATGTGATGGTGAATGCCTGTAACCTCTACTACTCGGGGCTGAGGCAGGAGGGTTGCAACCTCAAGGCCAGCATGGACAACTTCGCAAGATCCTGTCTCAAATGAAATACAAAGACAAAAAGAGGGGCCGGGGATTTAGCTGAGTGGTTTCGCTCCCTGCCTCGCAAGTGCAAGGACCTGAGTTCGAACCCTGGTACCCCCCCACCTCAAGACAAAAAGGAGATGGGATATATATAGGTCAGTGATAAGAGTTATCCTGAGTTCAATCCCCAGTACCACCAGAGGGGGGAATGTTTGAAACACATAATTGACAGAGGATCCATATTCAAAATATTACACGAAAATGTGCTCAACCTCTTCAGAGAAGAAATGTCACAAAGAGATAACTGTGCCGGAAAAAAATTTAAATCTTTCTATATTAAGATGACAAAGATATGGGATGAGAGAAACACTTATTCTGGTGAGTATAACAATTGGTAAAACCAACTATGGGAAAAAGTTTTTGCTTTTCTTTTAAAACTCAAGCTATGGCTGAAGGCTTAGCTCAGTGGTGCCGCCGCCCGCCTTGCAAGCCCAAGGTCCTGAGTTCAATCCCTGGTACCATAAATAAATAAATAAATAAATAAATAAATAAATAAATACCCAAGCTATATCTGAGAACCAGCAGTATCATTCTTAAGCATGTACTTAGGCAGCAAGCCTCAAATTTTCAGTCTTAGGAAACCTTTAAAAATTATGAAGCCCCCTCCAAAAATTATGAAGCTCTCGAAGAGCTTTTATTCATGTAATTCTAACGTTTTTTATTTATTATTTACAACAATGAACCATGACACGTCAACCTGTTTCGATGAAAAGTATCTTTTCCAAACCATTTGGTGATATATCTGGCACTGTTTCAAATCATTTCAAATCTTTAAAGTTTGGCTACAGAAGACAAATGGATTCTCCAACCTGCTTCTGCATTTACTCTCGCGCAGGATGTTTCTTTGTTTGTGGTATGTAAAGAAAATCTCACCTTCTACAAACTTAAAGTTGAGAAAGGAGGAAGTCTTTCTTCCCTTCTGCCCCTCTTCTTTTCCTCCTTCCTTCCTTCCTCCCCACCTCCTTTTTTCCTTTGTGGTATTGGGGACTGAACCCAGGGCTACATTCCTAGTCCTTTTCTTACTTTGAGGAGAGTCGCTCAATTGCCGTGCTGGGCTTGAATTTGCAACCCTCCTGCCTCAGTCTCCCAGAGTGCTGGAATTATAGGCCTGAGCCACCATGCCCAGCTAGAGAAAGGTATCTCTGATAGCTTTTTCAGATAGTCTTGGATAATCTTCATTGACAACACTTCAAAGCTGGTAAGTGGTGGTTACGTAAATAACTGCACTGTAGAATCTGACCAACGCAGGTTCCAGACTCTGTTAATTTACCAAGTCCACTGGCCTGTTAAGAGAAGTGGAACGAGGAGGAGGGATGTATAATACGGATGTCTTCCAAGGGACTGGACATTGCAGACTGGCTAGCGATTCTGGAGTCTGTGGAACAGGCAGCCAAGAAGGGAAGCTGGGAGGCAGGCTAGACACCTCCAGCCCAAGCAGCAGCGTATGTACACTCAGCAGGCCAAGGAAGAGAGGCAAAGGGAGTGCAGCTGCAAGTCTTTCCTCAGGGAATGCTCAAGGTTGGATGCACAAGGAGCAAACACTCTGGATCACCTTTAAATTAAATGACTAGGGCTAGGCATGGCACAACTGTAATACCAGTGCTCTGGGAAGCTGAGGCAGGAGGATTGCAAATTCTCCAGCAAGCCCACACTGGATAACTTAGTGAGTGAGACCCTCAAAATAAAAAAACAAAAGGGCTGGGGATGTAGCTCAGGGCAATGGCCCTACGTTCAATTCCTAGAACTGAAAAAAACAATTATCTGAGTAAGGTGCTTAACCACATGTGCACACACAGATAGAGAACATCCTTGTGGCCCATTCTTATCAGGAGACTAAAAATAAAAGCCCGGGGACTAATTCACAGTAGCCAGATTGACGCATCCAAATGCAATCCTAGTCAATCTTGCCTTCTGAATGGCTAACTTTATCCATGCAAAAACTTGGCAAGCGATGGTCATTTGGTTGAGTTACGCAGAGCTTCTGAATTTGAACACCTTTTTAGGCTATTAATATCACCACCAATATAATAAAGCTTTTGGAGTGTTCAAAGTGTCTGTGCTCACAAAAAATTCCAAAATCCTAGTTTTCATTTAAGGAAGAATTTTATCATCGGTAAGAAATTCCTGTCTTTTATTTCACTTTAAGCAATTGGTTCATTTCATTTCATTTGGAAGAAAACATCTGCCAAACGCCTAAAACTGAATAATTATACTTTGTGCTTTCATGTAAAAATGGTACTAGAAAAAAGAAGCAATTAGTTGCTCTTAAAATCTCAAGACAAGCACACAATCAGCTTTCCCTATGCAATCACAGTACGCTAGTATAGGGAAGTACTTACGAGGGGGCTGATAGATACAAAGACCAACTAGTAACGGCTGGAATGTGAATGCTACTCAGTGCAATCGTCAGCACAATGAAACAGAACACTCAAGTCTGACAACTGCTGTTACCATGGAGGAGTTGTAACCTAGAGTACTTTTTGCAAGGGTCTCAGGAGAACCTAGCGGTCTGCGGACGATACTGTGAGAACTCCCGACTTGGAGAAAACTACCACTGCAGGATGCACGGATGTGCTAGCTATACCTCGAGACCAGGGAACCACGGCCTCTACCCTGAGCCCCACATTCTCAAGGGCCCTCACTCTTGCTTTGCTCCAGCTGTGACCCCCTCAGGGCAAACGTAAAGAGCCCAGGGGACATGCCCGCTGGACCCTGAGGTCCTTCCTCAACAAGGCTCCATAGCTCCCCAGGCCCTCCTGCCCAATCGGCCTGGATCCTGGCTTTTGGACTTGCACAGCCTTAGGTTAATGCAACAGCAGACACTACCACTGATGTGCTCCATTCCTAAATCCAAGGGATGGCTCGGGGTCATGGCCACACAGGTGGTGCAGGTTCCCATACATGTGTGTGTGGTGCCACCGGTGGTGTCAGTCAGAGCCAGGACCGGAAGGGACAAAGAAGCTGGAACAGGAAGTCTGGGTTTGCACTTCTGCCCCAGGCCCCACAAAATGTTAGGTTTGGTTTTGTCTGAATAGATCTTATGGAATTATGGAGTTCAAATTTTAAGGATGTGTGTACACGTACACAACATATAATAACTAGCACAAAGTTCAAAAGGAAGCAACATAGTATTAGAGATCCATATACTTTGTAAAGAAAAGCCACTAATGGTTACCAGAAGATTCTGGGTTTGTGATCAGGAGGGAACTCATGAGGGCTTCTGTAACACTGGACTATTCTGTTTTTATACCTAGACGGTAAGTGTATGAGTATTCATTTATTAGCTTTCATTACAGAATACAAGTGTGTCTTATCCCCTTCTTAAATTATGCTTTGATTCCCTAATCTTTACTTCAACCTGAAATGAAGTGCCTAATTTCACCTTTTTATTTCCTTTTATGTGTCCGACTTGCAGTTCACATGTCTCTTCACCATTTGAAATCTTTATACATTCATCTATTAATAAATACTTTTATATGTCAACCAAAACCACTTGTAGTTATAGCTCTCAAAGTAAAACAGCTTCCAAAACCCATAGTTCTGGTGGGGAGCGGAAAAACATGTTCAAGAGTAACACTTAAAATTGCCTTTGATTTTAAAAAATACAGCTGTTACCGAACTTAGAAGTCAGGTTAGCATCTGATAATGTGATATCTCCTGTGTTATCATAAGAGAAAGAATCAAACTTACAACATACATGAGAAAATGCTTCGACCACAATATTGGAGAAAAAAGTTCTTTGAAATAAAAATACCTAACCTAAATTTTTTGTGGAGGTTTTAAAAAATGCCTAGGAAAGAAACACAATTCAATGGAAGCAAGGTCATGGCTGGTTTTCTTACCATCTTGGGTGGGGACCTTGTCCCTGGATCTCAAGACTTACCAGAAAGCAGAAACTGAGTGGGTGGGGTGAGACTAACGCAAGCTGATTGGGAACCAGGGCCCCATGCTGACCATATCACCACATATCTTCTTTCAAATTTAAAAGCAATTTCACCTGTTTTTTCATCCCCTGGTACTGGGAATTGAACTCAGGACCTTGCACTTGCCAGGCAGGCGAGGCGGCACTGAGCTGCATCCCCGGCCCCTCATTTGCTCATTATACCCTGGGACATGGCAAGGGTTTGGCACAAAGGATGAAAGAATGTCTTCAAGTTGATACAGTTAAGAGAAAGTGCTAGGGATGGAACTTAGGAATCCTAAATGTAATGTTTTGTGGATACATGCAGGTGGCAAATATTTCCAGAATGACTTGGATTTGTACTTCCGGACATGTTAACTACATAAGCCTCCCGGTAACTGTAGCATTCACATGTAGGGTTGTGAGGCGGGGACTAGGAGCTCATCGGAATCCCTGTGCAACACTCACTGCTCCCTACTTTGAGGCAAAACACAACTTATTTCTGAGCCAGCTTCTCCACCAGATGATCCATCCGCCTGTGCCAGGAGGATCTGAGCTAACAGCGGGGCTCTCTCTGTGTACCAGACATGGCTGCGTGCTGGAATGAACTGTTTTGTACACAAGGACACTATCATGTAGGTATCATCATACTTCAGTGTTACAGATTAAAAAAAACTTCAAGCACAAGTGAGTAAATTTCCCAAGTCACGGAGCTCCCAAGGCAACAACCACGGAGACTAGGAGTCCACAAAGTCTGACTCCGGGCCCTGACTGGTTAATGTGTACTCACTTAAGAAAAGTAAACAAAGGGCTCTACATAAGGCACCCAAAATAGGACACAATGCAGGCATCCAATTAACAACAGTTATTTTATCATTATAGCTCTTGACATTTTACTATCACTATCGACAGTCTCTTGCTCTGTAGACCACTGTGAATTTTCAGAACAATTAATATTCTAGGAAAGATGTCCAGGCATATTAAAAGGGAAATAAAATAAAACTCGGGGTCAAGGGAATGGGAGTATACTGTGTATCTGTTTTACTATTATCCTAAAGAACCGAAGAAGAAATTCTCGGAACAATTTTATGCTTCTAATGAATGTAACTCATGCCCGAAGCGCATTTATTACACATCTGTGAATGTGCATAACATGTTACTGCTGCTCGTAAAAACGTGCACTTAAGATTAAAACTTAATCATGCTTGGGTATTCAATGACCCTTTCTCAATCATCAGAAGACCTGAAAAGGGGGGAACGGAAGGATAGCGCCAACCGGATGGGCTAATTTTCCTACCAACCGTCCTTGGTGGTTGCTCCCCATGATTTTCTTACTGACATCCCAGAAACTTTCAAGATTACCTGAAAAATTACTTCTTAAGACATCATCTGGCGAACCGTCCACAGGGGTTTATGACTTTCTCTAGGGACCACGACAGGGCGAGGGTAGGGGAGCTCGGGGGCCCACAGGGAGGTCAGCACGTCGCCGTCATTAACCCCTCATACTTACCTCCACGGAATAGTGCAGGGCGGATGACGCAGGGTGCAGTGACAGATTCTGAAAGGGCTTGATGTGAGGTTGCTCCCATCCGAACTCGGAGGACCACTCCACCACCAACATGTGATCCGTAAACACGGTTCCAAAAACCAGATTATTCGGATCTGGTTTAGCCTTAAAAATGGTGGCTGGTGTGATTCTTAGATCTTTAGCCTGCGAAAGAAAAATCGGCACCATTAAAGAAAAGGAACTGAATATCCACAGGTTAGAAAACAGGTGGGGGGGGGGCGTCACCTGACTTCTAATTATTATTATTATTATTTTTTGGTTCCGGGGATCAAACTCAGGTCCTTCTGCTTATGAGGCAGGTGGTGGAACCACTGAGCTAAATCCCTGGCCCGGGCTTGAGGTTTTATGTGAAAAATATTTTTTTTCACTTGACTTTTAAATGTTGGCAACTAACATGGAAACTTCACAACGTGTGCGCTAAGTGAAATAAATGTGTTGAAAGGCACGTGTTCCTGCTACCTTACCTCTCTCTCTCTCTCTCTCT